CTAAACCACTGAACTGATTTTAATGAAATTCGGTACAGAGATAGAGTTGACCTTGAGAAAGAACATAGGATAGTTTTTATCCCAGACTTTTGAAAGGTTCTCTTGGTAACGCGATATACCCGAACTCCACGCGGCGAAGCTGCGGGCGGAAAGCTTGTTGTATTATAAATTAAGTACTTGGAAACAGATGTAAATAATAATTGCATTAATTTGTATATTTTGAAATATAATATATAAATTATATTCCACAAATTTAATTTTAATTCCTCATAATAACGTTGTTTGCGGTTCAGATAATTTTGTGAACATTCTTATTATGGAAAATACTTTACCTTTTTGTTGTATAATGACAGTAAGTTCTTTTTATTTTAAATAAATACTAGTAATATTCCAAATTACTATGGATATACATAGGTACATTGGTTTATATTAGATTTTTGGCCATTTCATAAGATTATATTTAACATGAACACTAGTCATTAAAAATATTAATTTTAACGTTTATAATTTATTTACTTATGTCTCTTTATATTATTATAAGAAATATGAATTATATTAGGTACTTCAGCGCGTGAAGCTTTACACGTGTTTATTAAAAGATCTTATTCAAAGCAGTCCATTACCTTTGAGTCCTTACATTTAAGTTTGATCATATTTAAGGTTTTTTTTTTAAAACACTTTTGTGTTTAACATTTATGTTACTGAATTATCTAGACTCACCTTAGTTTTTTGATGACACTATTTTCTTCTTGTTTTAAACAGTTTGAAATGATTCTGTCTTACTTTTGTTGATAAACAAATATATGATGTTATTGTGCTTTATTGTAATACTCCTATACTTTAACATCACGTGTTTAATTTTATGTTAATATATTTTAATGGTTACGTTAAAAAAATCTATTTTTATATCTGATTAGCTTTTAGTCAGTTAATAATAAAGGTTCTTACCAGTTTGTTTCTTATTTGCATTTGAATACACCTTCCGAAAATATTATCTAACTTTGTATTTTATATGAAGGATCAAAACTGTAAATCCTGAGTAAATAAAGATAATGAATACCACAGAACAAAATTATAACATATACATCAGAAACTTAAGTAATGTATTTAAGTAGAAAACCCATTCCTATAATATGTAATGAATATTTTTCATTGTTGAATTACTGGAATGATTATATTTATTTAATTATTTAATATTAAATATTCCTTTATAAAATAAAAGACGTATAGAAATAATACTTATAATTGTTCTCTTTTCTAATTTAACTAATATACTAAAAAAAATATTATAATATTCTCGACAATGATTCGATTGAGTTTTCAAAATTCTTTTTATTATACTTGGTATTTAATTGAATATTTTTTCATAACATTTTTTTTAATTCCCAACGGTTCTCGTTCTAAGATCTATTATATAAAACATGTCATGAGCACTGTGTGTTGGGTGCATCGTGTATATTCCGTATCTACATACTTTAGTTCTTCTTCTTCTTCTTTGCCCCTTTCGACGTATCTACTTTCTTTATTACATGTGAATTACTCATCATCAGATCAGCGGGGACACTGTGACTCCAAGTTGAAGTTATTTTTATCACAGATATCCCTCCTCTAATATTTTCTTTTTGCTCTAACCAACCTGTTATCTTTACAACCTTTTTTATTATTTTAATGATATTTGGTTGAGTATTATTTTAAGCAAAAAAAAAACCATTAAAGCGAAAATCTATATTATTTTAAGCAAAAAAATTGCTGTAAACCTTAAAAGTACCTCAGTCTGGATACAGGGTAAGTTTATCGAATGTACTTATGTAAATCCATTAACCGAGTTACAAGCTTCATGTGTTTAAGCTTCCTTCATCTTGGATCAACTATTAATTGCCTCAAACATTTCACCCATCCATGAATATAAATTACTTACAGCATATTTTTACAGTTAATAATTTGACCGTTACAATTTCTCATTTACAATAAGCCAGTGAGTAATATTAAATGTTTTTTTGTTTAAATCGAAGTTTATAAAAAATTATTATATTAACAGAAATAAACTCAATAAACTGCTCTTTATTAATATGTTATTAAATATTCAAAACGAGAAATATAAATCTATAAAAGTTTGAAGTGTGAAGAGTACTTCTACACTAGTAGTGCAGATTAGTAATGTTTGTGAAAATATTGTGATATGGATATTATATATCATTCAAAAGAAATATTGATCAATTTAAATGATTTGTTAAGCTCATTGAACAAGTTACGTACAGGAAGTAATTGAATTTATACACTCGTTTGTAGTCTTATTTTGAGTACAATATATCTCTGAGTGCAACATTTTAAACAGTACTGTAATTTGTTCTGAATTTGAGTTTAAAATACATGTTTCTGTTTAGTGAAGCAACTATTCCTCTTTAGGTGCAGTCTTTGTACGAGTGTGTTTGTGGTTTCCGAAGTCTATTGATTATTATATTTACAAAGTTATAACGTTATGTCCTAACTTTAAACGGCTTTACGATGCTACCCGTATTTATTTCTTTTTAAAACTGCCTCCTAAGTCTTTAAACTGCCACAATATTGTGAGTGGAGATTCATTCTATCGAATGCATTTAGTAAGAAAACTTTGGAAACTGAAACTTTTGAAGTTTAGTATAAATTTTTGTGTGAAGTCGGGGCTATTAACCTTAAACAAATAACTAGGAAATAGATCACAATACTACTCCTGAGAACGCTACAACGACATACATATATTTTATATATATATAAATATGTAGTTTCTCAGTCATAGATTACCACGAACTTGCGATTACATTTTGTTAATCTCAATCTATAAGGTTTGAAAACAATTTAATTCCTATAAAGAGATTATTTTTATATGCTATTTATATCTTTGTTTTTTTTTATCAAGTCAAGTCATAAAAATTATTCGATTGCGACAGAAAACGTACTCCAATTTTATTATAACCCTGTATGAAAGGGTTAATATATTTGAAATTAATAACATAAATGTTTTTTTAGCGGCCTTAATTTAAATCGGTTATCACCTAAAAAGATTTGTTCTATATATAAAAATGGATTGCTGTTCTTTAGTCTCGCTAAAACTCGAGAACAGCTGAACGGATTTATCTCATCTTAGTCTTTAAATGTTCGTGGAGGTTCAGGGAAGGTTTAAAAAAAGGAAAAAAATTTATTCATTTCCGGGAAAACCACAAAAACAGCCCTTTCCTATTTCCCATACAAACGTTTTTTTTGACATTCGATTTGACAACTAACTAATATGTCAATCATTCTGTCGCACTTCAAAACACGGAGATTTATGGCTTAAAGGCAAACTCCAAAAATGTAAATAAAAAAACGTAACAGATATTTCTTGATTATAGAGCGCTACGAAGTTCGCCGGGTCTTCTAGTATTATATAAAGTATATGAGTTTGTTTCAAATCTTGTTTTTAATATCCATTCATTTAACTTGTTTCATAAAGGAAATATTTATTTACTGAACTTGTTTTCAGCTCTATTAAGTAAATAGGTCAAAAGTTTTCATTTCTCTCGAAACAAGTTTTATGTAACTAATATTAAAAGTTAAAATTCATAATTTATAAAAAAGTTTTTTTTTTTTTTTATGTGAAAGGTGGGAAACGAGCAGACGGCCCACTTGATGGAAGGTGGTTACCGTCGCCCATAGACATCCGCAACATTTTGTTGCCGATGCATTGCCAACCTTGTTTTTTGGGGGTAGGGAGGGGTGGGAATAAGGAAATGAAAGGAAAGGGTAGGAATAGGGAAAGGGCAACCGGCTCTCTCACTCATCAGACGAAACGCAGCCAGTAAAGGCTACTTCACGCCGATCTTCTGTGAGAGGGTGGTACTTCCCCGGTCGAGCCAGCCCATGTTCGAGCTGTAGTAACTCACCACAGCTAGGCTCTACCACCTAAAATAGGTATTTGGTTTTATACGTCTTATAAATAAATTAAAAATAAATGCAAAATCCAATAATTCCTTATATATGACGTCAGTCTTCCGTTTTTCATAATTCTTTATTAAATTTTCAAATGTTTTTGCAACGAAAATCTTATTAACATAAAATAAAAGAAATAATAAATGTTAATTCAGTATTTATTTGGCGTCGTCACCACTACCTCTACTAAGTAATCACAACACCACAATAGCCCAATATGTTCGAGAGAATTTTTACGTAGATATATTTCAATAACTATTTTATTAGGTGCACGTTACGTTTATGGGAAAAACATCTATCAATAATCTTATGATAAAATTCATTAAAAATACTATAATATCTTTATATATTTAGTTTAGTTATAAAAGATGAATCAATACGATACATAAATATCACACTCCGCAACTTAATTAGCGGGTCGATTGACTCACTGAGTCGGGAGCTCTAACGCTATATTGTGATAACAATTTTATTATTTCAGATATATTATTATAAGATTTATATATTCCATTGTGTTGTTTATTTAAGAATGTTGTGAGGTAACTTAAAAAACTTTGGTAGTTGTTTTGTCTTTACATTTAATGTTTGTTTCCTTGACAGCACAGATTCAAACAGTACTGTGTACTCTGGAGATAGTCTACCAGCTGCCCACGGAAACTACGTTGAGAGAGGCCAGCTACCTTATTAGCTCACTTTCACTCATTCTGTGTCATTTTAAACTTGTTTAAAGTGAAACCTTGATCACAAGAAGCCCAAAATCTCAGCTTACCAAGTATCGTTGCCTACGGTCTGTCTCTCAATGAGCTCCTGCCAGTATCGAGTCTTGGCCTCAGTGAATCCTTATGACTACTCAGTACTCCGAACAAGCATTGTTTATTTTCTCGCCTTCGGCTCTCCTTCTGCTTTGGACTCGGAGATACAGGCGGCGTTAATTTTGCCATTGTTGCAATTGTACTTTGGTATTTTTTCAATGTCATGCTTACTTTCCTTCCTTATTTGTTTGTTAAATTCATTTTAAATTCTGTTAAATTCCTTGTTTGTCTGTTGTCAAGTGTTTATATCGTGTCTTCTACGTTCTCTTTAGGGATGAGTAGATTTTCCACAGCTTCTATAGCTTTCCCTCGAATGCTTCGTCGTAGTCTCCCCTTGTTCTCTGTTTCGTAGTACGATGCGACGATTCTCTGTATATGACGTTGAAATGTGTGTACATACTGGCACATTGCCAGCAAGTGGTCCTGAGGATTGCCATCAGAGTTTTTGCCACCATTATTTATATATAACATTATTAAATCATATTACTGAGAGTCACTATTAAAGAAGTATTATCTTTGTCGTACATTGTCTTAAAGGATCATATGAAAGCTTCGGAACACAACATTTATATTTTGTTTAGAAGCGATTTACAAAATACTTTGTTAAAATTAAGCACGTCGTTAACGTTTTGATGAATTTAAGCCTCATTAAGGTGTTCGCAGCCTTGAGGAGCGCTTTACTTGGAAATAAAGGAGCTTTAGAATATTATACGCCGATTTCATTGTACACGTTCTTAGATTTAATTAATTAAGACTTTGATTACTTCCCGCTTTGAACACATATCTTAAAGAAAAAATGGAATCGCTTTTCTTTTATTTCTATCTTTAATTGTAATTATTTAAAAAATATAAGCCTTAAGTGAAGAATTGGTTGTTAAACCACCGCAGCGCTGTATAATATGTTAATTACATTTTTCTTCCATATAACATAATGAAAATTTGTGTCGAGAGTATTAAAAATGTAGAAAGAAATTACAACTCTCTGTATATATTTAAATATTATATAAGTATTTCTGTAAATATAAAATAAAAAATATATCCTTTGTGCTGCTGTAGATAGGCTAAATTACATTTAATTCTAAGAAATCTGAATATAAGTATTTATTTTATATAAATACCTCCATAACATAACTATTTCTTGTATTCAAAAGGTTCTTGTATTCTATATTAAAAAAATACAAAATTAGTTAGATTATGACCAAAAATATTTAAAAAGTCGTAATAAGCATATGAAGAAATTGTGAAATTATATTCAATAATAAGTAAGTAAGTAAACTATATTAATAAAGAGAATTTATTAGGTATATGGCTAATAAATAAAAACGATTTTGTATGTTATTTTGCGAATTAAATGTTATAAAATATCTTGTTTATATTTATAGTAGGAACCTAGTTGTAGTATAACAATGATATTTAGTTAACGTATGTGTTCACTAAAAGAGAGTGATTAAAAAAATACCACAGAAAAACGTTCCCTAAATATTTGTTTATATGAAAATATTCTATACTAAGATAAATAAATATTTAACGAAACTAATATTTTCGGATTTACTACGCGATATTTTATTTTTGACTATAAACTACATACTAACGACTTTTTAGTAAATACCCGCCTTCGCGTTGGCTTGATCAAGTGAAGACCTCGACAAAAGCTCCTGTAAACTTGTGCGCCAGGAAGGCATCGATTAGAGAAGAAGGGCGTTGAATTGTACAGCGAGCTACCACTACCCAAACGGATGACCATGACCACTCTGTCAAGAGTGACACCGACTGAGAAGAAGAAGTACATAAATCTGAAAATATTAGTTTCATTTAAATGAGTACTCGAGAAAATCTTAGATCTCATTAAATATTTAACGAATTTAGTATTTATTTGAACTATTTTTATTTATATAAATACCTGTCGATAGACATCACCAAATAGTCGAACATCATCACTCGGATTCAGTCAACAATAGCTGTCAATTATTTCTTTTTCTTAAATTGTAATGGAAAAATAAAGCATGTCGCAAACAGAGCTTATAGTTATAAGTGTTAGTTTCTCTATTTTCTATAAAACCCATAAGACTTATATTGGAACCATTATATTTTATCACTGTATATTACACATCTACAGTTATCTACAGTTGTTCTAGATATGCCCATAACTTCTTATTTCATTATTTAATATGAGTAATGGTAAATACATATTTATTATAAAATAAAAGTTGTTTAACATATTCCTTTTATATAAGCAACGTTCCTGTGAAAATTCCGTTAAGTTCGTCCAAATGTTGCGTTGTTATTATTTCAAAAAGGAAACTTGTATATATTTATCTATATTCTTGTAAAACAGGAGTAGAACTTTTACATTGCCTTAGATTTACTAAGATATACAATAGTATGGAGTTTAGTAATTTTGTAAAGAGATAATATATTAAATTAGGAATAAACTATGAAACTGTTAATCTAAATCTCATAAATGTTAGCTGCTGTATTAGCCTCAAAAAGCTTTTGAACATCACTCTCCTGAGTATGAAGTAAGTAAAGTATTTAGCATAACTCTTATAAGAGGCTGCTAAAATAATAACAGAATATTTAGATTTTGTGACCGTTACATCGTATTTGTCTTTATTATATCACCCTTTATATAAAGCGCAAGCCCACTTTTCTCTTTCTGGCTTCTTTTTTCTATATTCTTATCAGTTACTTTGGTCTTCATATTAAACTCTCTAGGCGGTTTCCCTTTCCTAACAACGTTACTGAACAAGGCCTTTGTTACACGTTTATTAACATTTGATTAGATGTAGACTGATGATTTAACTAACCAGTAATTGAACGTTTCCATTCCTTTGCAGTGTATTTGACAGACAAGCAATAACTTCTCTAAAAGTTTAATTACACACAGTACGTAATTATGAAGCATTGTTGGGTTTTGTTAGCTTTTAATATATTATTACATATTGAAACTATAGTAACAAAGAGAAAATTGTTTCGTCTCTACACATAATGTAAGAAAATTAATATTTATTTCAGCAAACTTTGAACCACACAATATTGTCTAAAACAAAATATAAAATATGAATAACGAGCATTTAACAAAAGAATCACTAAAATTCGGTTTGATTTAGACATAAAATAAGATCTGCACGTAAAGCCGTGCGAAGAAACTTGTACAATACACACAAAAACTATTTAACTATAAACGATTGAAAACAAATAAAGTTAGATTGCTTTCAATCAAATACAATTTGTTTCAAACAGTGTGCTAGTACAAATTAACAATATATTAGATTTGATATCAAGTATGTTGTATAATTTTTATTTTACGTGTATGTGTAATCTAATTTATAAAAAAAACACTGTCACGCAAGTAATGGGGATCTGCGATATAAATGTTAAAAAATGAAATACAACGGGATCGTTTAAAAATGTTACTCGTTTGTTCTTACAAAATATTGTTCGATGTAGTAGAATAGCTAAGGGTGTAAATGATCATTGATAATAATAAGTGATAACTAAATATGAAGTAGTTATTGTATTGGCACTATTTGGTCTGAGGTTTTTCATCACCTGGGCGAAGAAATATGAATGAGTAAATGGGTATTAAATGGATCTTGAAGCTCAAAAGAAATTATATTGAAATTATAATCTGACCAAGTTTATTCCTACCAACTCAAAGACTCTTCTCAAGTGACTTTTTAATACTTAGAACTAAAAAATTATACATTGTATAATCTTCTAAGGTGCAGTTTTTTCCTTTTTAATTATAGAAATACGTTAAAGTACATAAAATATACAAATATACATATATAGCCACGGGCAAAAGTATTAGGCACCCTACAGTAAGACAAGTTTTAGGGTGTTTTAGCATAGCGAGTGTAAATAAAACTGCATTTATGATTACAATGGTTTATTTTAAGAAAATAATTAATATTTTGTAGGTCCACCTTTTGACTTAATAACCGCAGCCACTCTTTTTGGCATTGACTCTACCAGCCTGAAACATTCTTCTCTTCATATATTTTTCCATTCCTGCTGTAACGCGGCCAATAGAACTTGTTTATTGCTAATCGAGTGCCTGCGGACATTTTTCTTTAAAATGGACCAAATATGCTCAATCGGGTTGAGGTCTGGTGATTGTGGTGGCCAGTCCAAAAGATCAATATGATTTTCAGAAAACCACTTCATGGTATGCGCGGACTTGTGGCAAGTGGCGTTGTCTTGCTGAAATTTCAGGCCATCGGTGTTTGTATCACCGAAAATTTGCGTTATCGACGTTGCTAGTGCTGTTTCCAGAACTTCAGTGTATTTAACACTATTCATTCGTCCCTCACACAACACCATTTCGCCCCCTCCGTCGGCAGCCATGCAGCCCCAGATCATTATTGAGCCTCCACCATGCTTAACAGTGGGAACCACACATTCTGGGTTGTATTCTTCGCCAACCCTTCGCCTAACATAAGTCACACCGGGTGTTCCAAACACCTATGCCAAACGAAAAAAAAAAACACATTTATTTTCAAAGTTATTATTTTTCTTGCAGTACGTTATTTTAAAAACATTTTTGTGTTTTAATATTGTACATAAAATAAATAACAGTACCTCAAAGTTAGATTCGTCTGACCACAGTATGTTGGACCAATCTTCCACTGACCAATCTCTATGTTTGAGTGCCCACTGCAACCGATTTTTCTTATTGTGTTCTGACAGCCACGGCTTCTTCCTTGCTTTACATCCTTTTAATCCAGCTTTAAGAAGTCTTCTTCTCACAGTATAAACACTCACTGAGCTGCCTTTTGCCTCAGATAATGCTGCAGCGAGCTCTAAAGCAGTTTTTTTCCTGTTTTGTAGAGACTGCCTAATCAACAATCGATCTTCCCGTTCAGTAGTAACTTTTCTTCTGCCTGTTCTTGGTCTATTTTCATGGGTGCCAGTCTCTTTGAAGCGATTTATAGCATATTGAACTGCACATCGTGAGCACTTCACTTCTCGGGCTATTTTAACCTGAGACATGCCTTGTTCATGTAAAATCTTAATTCTTAGACGCTGTTCAGCACTAAGTTCAGATTTTTTCGGCATGATTAACACGTTAAATGTTAGTCTTTAGAATTGTGATAGGAATAGTTGCGTAGAAGACGTGTATGTTCACTGCAAGCTCTGATAACACACTATAACCCGAAACGCAAAAAAAGCAAAATCGAAGAAACACCGCTTAGGAGCACACCTGGATGTCATAAATATTTTCTTTTATCTTAATTTGGTTAAAAATTGCCGCTAATACAATAGCTAAACCAAAAAACACACACTTGACCGCAATATAATGAGATAGTGACTAACAATAGGGGTGCCTAATACTTTTGCACGCAGCGTAGAAATAATTATTTGTCACTGGAATACGATTTTTAATAAGTCACAAGCTTTACTCCTGGTCTAAATCCTAAATTATAGGTTCTTAAAATGATATACCATATAACAATTCCATAATGAAA